CTTTCCCTGCATCTTATACAAAAATTAGCTCAAAATGGATCAAAGACCATGAAGAAAGACCTAAAATTATAGAACTCTTAGAAGAAAATATAATCAACAATCTTCCTTGAATTTGGCAGTGATTTCTTACATATGGCACCAAAAGAGAAAGTGGATAAACTAGACTTCATTAAAATAGAAACTTATTTATGCATCAAAAAATACTATAATCAGAGAAGACAACCCACAGAATAAATGGATCAAAGACCATGAAGAAAGACCTAAAATTATAGAACTCTTAGAAGAAAATATAATCAACAATCTTCCTTGAATTTGGCAGTGATTTCTTACATATGGCACCAAAAGAGAAAGTGGATAAACTAGACTTCATTAAAATAGAAACTTATTTATGCATCAAAAAATACTATAATCAGAGAAGACAACCCACAGAATAGTAAATATTATCATATCTAATAAGGGATTAATACTATATATATATATATATATTACTCTTACAACTTAACAGAAAACTAAGAACCCAATTAAAAAATGGGAAGTGGGCCAGCAGGTGGCATGGTGGTTAAGGTGCTGGATTCCTGCATTGTCAACCACGATTTGAGTCCTGAAATGGCAGCTTGAAAATCACACCGTGTGTGCATGTGTGCCCAATATTCTGAGAGGAGAATGGAGAAAGGATTGCAACTTGGCCATCCCCCTGATGTAGGAGGGTGATTTCTCACTTTCTGTCTCTCTGGTGAGCACACGCTCCTGCACCCCGCAGCAAAATCTAAAAAAAAAAAAAAAAAGCAAGTACTTTTCCAAAGAAAATACACAAATTATTGGGTCAGTGGAATGATGTTTCAGGCGATTGAAGCCAACATGGTTGAATATATGGTTCAAGTCCTGGTTCTGGAGGCTCAAAAACATGCCAGGTGGGACCAGCAGATGGTGTAATGGCTACGTCGCTGGACTCCCACATAGTTGACCGCAGTTCAAGTTCCGGACCCGGTAGCTTAAAACACCAGGTGCGTGTGTATGCATGTCCCAAATCCCGAAAGGCAAATGGAGAAGGGATTGTGGTGTGGCCATCCCCCCCGAGGCATGATTTCTTGCTTTCTGTCTCTGTCTTTCTGGCAAGTGCACATGCCCTATAGGAAAAACCTCTCCAAAACAAAACAAAACAGAACAAAAGCATAAAATGACCAGCAGATGGTGTATGTCTCTGGACTCCCATGTAGTCGAATATGGTTCAAATCCCAGACCCGGTGGCTTAAAACCCATGCCAGATGTGTGTGTGTGTGCCCAAAACCTGAGAAGAGAATGGAGAAGGGATTGCAGTGTGGCCATCCCTCCATTGGTGATTCCACCCTTTCTGTCTCTCTTTGTCTCTCTGGCCAGCACACATACCCTATAGCAAAAATCTCTCTTTTAAAAAAAAATGCCAGACTTGAGCATGGCTGCCGGGCTTGCGCGTGGCCCCCGGGCCTGCGCGTGGCCCCCAGGCCTGTGTGTGGCCGCCGGCCCGCGGCCGC